CTATGTACATGTAGCTGGTCCTAGGAGGTCCCTACCAAAAGAGACGCTGTACCATATAGAGGAGACTCAAGATCACGAGATTGGGTTCTATGAGCGAGCAGCCTCTGGCTCAAACAGCAGACAATCATTAAAGAAAAGCTTATCAAGACTCAAGAGTTATGAGTCAACATCCAAACTCCCTCCTATAGTCAAACAGGACTCAAACTAACCTCATCTGATGACTCTGAAGTATATGATATTGAACCTAAATGGATCTTCTTGAACACCTACATGTACATACATTAACAGAACATTAAAAAATAATATATATATATATATATATATATATATATATATATATATAGTTTACTAACATAATATTATACACATATTGATGCATTAGGTTACTTATTTTAAATGTACATGTAGTCTAACCATTTCATTTTTTGTTAGTGTCCCTGTCTTGTCGCTCAGTAAATACTCGATGCGTCCGAGTTCTTCAGGTATAGTGCTGTTCCTTACAAGGTTCCCAGCTATGTTAGAATCACGTTGTATTATCCAACTATACACAAGCTTCCCCATGTCCAGATTAACGCGTAAACTAAACAAAGACAAGTGGAGTTATACTATTGTCCTCTGGTCAGCTAGTGTACATTAAGAATTATCAAAGAAATAAACACTAGTGTAGTAACTGTACATTGGTACTACATACGACGTACCTAATTGGAATGATGTAAGAGAAGAGGATTACATAGCGGAGTAAATACACAAACCAATAACTTGAAAACCCCTACAAGGAAAACAAACAAAAACAAATGAAAAGTAATTTATGGCTATTAGGTTCTGCTCTGTAATGGCATACTTTCAATGAGAGTATAATGACTGCTAGTATCATCATTGAGAGGAACAGGACTTTAGTTAGGTTATTGATCTCTCTGTCAACTAGCCCAGTCTACATGTACCAATATGTGACATTATGAATAGCCTCAGATATTACAAATGACTGACTTTAGCTCGAGGTGTACTAGTATGAAGAACACTGCGTGTTTCTTTACCAACGTATATTACTAGGCCAACTATTGAGCCTGTAGAGAAGAATAAAGGATTGTAATACAAAGACACTACACATTTGTATTGACACTTACTGTTGCTAATGTTTGCCAAACTATTATTGACACACACAATATGCATATGGTTTCTTGTACTAACCTGTAGCAAGTACTGTGTTAGCCCACAGTGTATTTACAAGAGACAAAGGCTCTTCAATTCCTGTATCAGACTCTCTTGGTGTCTATCACAAAAATGAATGGATATTGATTTACCTCCTAGAGCAACTTTAAAAATTCATAAATTATTCAATTTTGATCAGAATCAGCTCAAACTTTCTACACAACATAAAAACATGTATATGTATCAGAAAAATTATGAAAATGGAGTATTCTCTCCTAGCCATTTTTCGCAAGATTTGGTCAAAGACCCTGTACTATAGTACAGGGTCTTTGGCCTAATTTTGAAGCAACTGTACTAAATGTGCATAGCCCAATGCATTAGTATCATCCAACAATTATACATTGCACAAGTAGCATACCATTGACAGTCTTCCAGAGAATGAATAAAGGTCTTTCTGAAGTGGCTCAATGTTCAATTTAATCCCACAAGTCAACAACTCCTAATAACAAAAGGACTAACAGTACTCATGTACAAGTATATACAGACATGCTAACCTCATCTGATTGAAGCTCCTGTAATAGAGGTAGAGAAGTTCTTAGCTTCCAGTCAGTCTCACCGTCCAACTGATCAGTTTTGATGAAACAGGACTCCTACACACCAACCATTAGTAAGTACAATGATCATATTGTTATAACCTTTGTTATTGGCTGATGTACGTAATAGTATCATGTCAGCAGGTATGCGCTGATCCTAATGTAAGTAAATCAAATATAAATAATAATGATGAGCAGAAGTGATTCAGAACCTTATGAACTAGTACAATATCGCCAACAGACAAGTTCTCGCTAGTTACAACAGTAAATCCTATAAAAATGTATCATTAAAATTAAGATGCAATTAGTTCATAAAAAGTTTTAAAACTTACCGTCACTGGTAAGTACGGAATATTTCTGACCATTTATAACTTTGTCACGAAAGTATCTCTTAACGTCATCGTAAAGCTCTCTGCACATTGTAACACTGACTACAAACATCTACAAAACAAAAAATAAATTAAAAAATCCAATTATAGAGTATATTCAATAGTATGTGCATACCAATGGGGCCCAGTAAGTGTACCAGTAACCAATCTTCAATTGAGGAACAACTTGAGAGCAAGCAATGACAAGAAAATAAAGATTTAAAAAGACTTTAAATTGTTGAAATAAAACCTAAAAAAGAACATACATGTAATTATCATAATATACTAAAATGCATTAAATTACTTTTGGAAGGAAAGAAATGATCGAGTATTTTTGATTGCTTATTCTATTATTCTATAAAATAGGAAATTAATTGTGGCATTCTAAGCAATCACTACCTTTACTGGTCGTTTTCCAATTGAATCACTAACTGTTATCGTTCTAGGTAGACTTGGCTTAGGTTTAATGAACAAGCCTCGTAGTCTATAAAAGAAATGCAAACTCAATCAAACCAGTTATTCTATGCAAACAACTAATCATTAATTTTGCCAATTAAAACAAGGAAATCATGAC